TTTAATTCCGGATTATTTCTTCTACTTGTTTTATTAAATTCATGAAACTGGCCACTTTATGCGCTTTTATGTTATTGTTAATCGCATGAATCGGAAGATCGGGTTAATAATTAGAACTGTGGTAGAAGAGCCTTTGTGATATTAACATAGGAATATAGTTAATCTCTTAGGTAGCCATTATTGAGATTTGTGCTTAATGTTGTGTTCTAGAATTAATTGCATAGGAATATAGTAATTGAATCTAGAATATTAGAATTGTAATACACGCGGAAGCGGGTTATGATTATTTTAGCATCTCAGGTTAATAATCCGGGTTAATTGCTTGCATAATTAAAAGAATTGGGGGAATAATAATCACATAGGGGGAAGAATAAAATCCTAGGCTTGTTTACTCTGATAAATCTTCGTGTTTAATTTGCTTTCTTGCTTTGTCGTTTTAATTTGCTTTTTAATTTATTTTAGTTAATTCTCTCTAAAGTCGACTGTGTAGGGTGGGCTTGATAATAATTGGTAGAATTTAGCGTCTAGGATTAGATAATTAAATATTCCCTGTGGGTTCGATATCCGGACTTAATTGTCCACTATATTACTTGTACGATACGTGCACTTGCGTGTAGGTTTTCGACCAACAGTAATAAGGGGAAAAAATGAAAATAGTAATTAAGGTATTGCTAGAATTGTGAAATAAGATATAAAATGGTTAAAAAAAAAAGTCAAATCAGCAATTAATTTAAAACAAATAAAGTATGTACTTAAAACTAAGTTTGTCATTGGCCTCACATAGCCAAGAGGATGTGGATGTGACTACATCCGACCCAAAGATAGAGAAAGATGAAAAGCATATCACATAACATGGATTGAGGGAAGGCTCACCATCGGCTCAAAGTGATTTGATCACACCCGCGGGCCCTCTCCACTGAACTGGCTCAGCTCGCAAGAAATGAAGTTGTTTGTCCCAACAGACAAACACAACCCGAAGTAACCACATTACTCCGACGTGTGATCTGGCCATAGATAGAGCATAAGGCCATCCCCCAATCCATACGATAGGTAAAAATACAGTCTTGTGATATAAGGGAAAATGACTATCTCTAGTATTTCTAATATACACTTATTTTCACTACACATATATACTGTTTCTCCACGATTTCGATTAACTTAACCGTTGGAGTGCTAATATCGAGAAACCCTTCTTCAGTATCCCATTTTGCAAGTTTCTTGGGAACGCGGGGGCTTTTCTTTTTGATTGGGCTTCCTTCACTCCAGGCCCATTCTATCACTTTATAGTTTTGTGGATTAAATCCGGTTTGTATACTTTCATTATTCTTCAATACATACTTCACATGGAAAATTAGAAAGACCCTCCCATTTTGAAAAATCAATTAAGATAGAATCCCTTCAAATAAATAATTTGAGAAAATCATTTTCCCTTTTAAACAACCCTCATCGCAAATTCAAATGGTCTATTATGCCCTCTAAGAACTCTAATTTCATTTTTTATATTTCATTTCTCTCTCTCCTCTTTTTTTTCCGTTGCTTTCTTCTCGATCTCTTCTCTGCTTTTTTTCTATTTTCTCTGGTAACACATATTTTCCTTACTGGGTCGAATTCCGATGGATTGCTACACCTCCAAGCTGGACGACTTACCCGCCATCATTTTATACAGCGACCGCTGCTCTTTTCTCGACAAAGCTATACAACAGTGTTTCGCCGTCATCGAAACCCATGCTGCTTATCATAGGTCTAGACCTTTTTTTAACCAAGATCTCGACGCTTCTTCGCTTGGGCCCCACTTCCCGCGGCGGACATTGTTGATGGTGTGGGGTGGTGATAATAGGGTTGGGAATAGATCGATTTTATTGGTCAACTGATTCACTTTCGACACGCTTTTTTCGGCCGATAATTTTTTCGGTCGATCATAATTTTCAGGCCGATAATTATAACCAATCCATATATAAATGGGTCGGTCGGTGATTTTTAGTTTACTCAAAAGTTGGTTGGTCGGGTAAATTGTAATATCGGCCAACCAACTTTTTTAATATTTTTTTTATAAATATTTAATTGCAACACTTATTTTCTTTAATGTTAAAATAATATATAGAAGAGGTAAAAACTCAAAACAAAAATTTATAAACCCCTTCGTACTATTTATATTTTATAATTTTTATTTGGGCACTTTACAGATAAGTTCATTAATGGGTATTTATTCATAAATGGTTCTAGACAAAAAACTCTTTTACAAAAAAGTCCACACATCATTCAGAGGTTTGTAAAAGATTAAAATAGTTCTCACATTTTATTATGCTCCAATTTGATCCTTTAATTTAATTTTACCTCAATTTAACCCTGAATTTCACAAATTATTCAATTTTGACCCAAAACACAAATTTAAGTAAAATTCCGTTTGCCGCCGCTTGTGACTTTTTTTTTTCTTCTTCCTGATTATTCTGCCGGTTTCCACCGTTGACTTTTTCGATTTTTTCCGGTTTCTGCCGCCGCTGACCGGCGGTCAACGCCCCTCTCCGGCTGTGTTGACTTTTTTTTTGAATTTTTTTATTTAACATAATTTTGCCCCTGTTTAAACAATAATATTGTTGTGGTTAAGAGTAATATTAACTATATTACTGTTAAACACAGTAATATTAAAAAAAAAAAAAATCATTACTATTGTATAATAGAGTAATATTAATATGTTGATCGTTCAACAAATGTAAACATAATAAAAAAGCAAACAGAATTAATATTGATGTGGTTGACAGTAATATTACTGTAACAACAGTAATATTACCGTCAACCACAGTAATGTTATTGTGTTTACAGTAATATTACAATAGTAGACAGTAATATTATTACGTTACTCCATCAACAACTCAAACAAAACAAAAAAACTCAAAAACATAATAATATTGATGTGGTTGACAGTAATAATATTGTGTTTACAGTTATTTTGCTGCCAACGACAGTAATTTAATTACGTTGACTTGTCAACAAATCAAACAAAATATTTTTTTTAAAAAGCCAAGAAAATGAAAATACTGTCGTTGACTCTAATTGTGTACTGTCAACGACAGTACAACTACGTTAATGTACTGTCAACGACAGTAATAATTACGTTAATGTACTGCCAGTGACAATATAATTACTATTAATGACAGTACAATTACGGTCAACATTTAGCGGTGGAGTAAAACAACGGATTAAAAGAATATCACTAATAAAAGTCAACGTCGGAGACCGACAGTCAACGCCGGAAACCGGCGGCGGAAAAAGAAAAAAGAAATCGAAAAAGTCAACAACGGAGACCGGCGACGGAAAAAACAAACCAGAAAAAAAAATCGAAAAAGTCAATTCTGGAAACCGGCGGCAAAAAAATAATTTCAGTAAAAAAGGTTTAAAAAAAGTCAAAATTGGATTCTTGTGATCAAAATTTATTAAATTGAGATTACAATTAAGAATTGGGTGTAAAGAGTTGGTATAATTTTGTCATATACATTAATTTTTCCTTTCTTTATAATACATATTAAAGGGATGTGCTTATTGATGAAAGAGATATAGTCCCTGAACCTAGAATAATAAGATGGTTAGTCAGGGACTTATGCACAAAAACCCCTTTTTATTTCATATTCTTCATTATATATTACTTATTGTAGAAGTTTAATAAGAAAAACTCTTAATTTTAAAGTTAAGCTTTTTCTGAACATAAGTTTTCACAAAATATTGAATATCTTTTGAAAAAAATTTTAAAAACTTCTTACTATTGTTAAAAAAAACTAAAAAAAAAAAAATAGATAGCCGATAATACCAACGAACCACCCATTGTTTATCAAATAAAGTCGGTCCGACCCATAATGCTCGGGCTGGTAATGGTTTTCGATTTTCAGCAAAATCGTGTGGTCGGGTTGAGTAAGTAATTGGCTGAGAATTACCCGACCCTACCCGACCCATACCCAGCCCTATGTGATGGTGTGGTGTGACGATTGTGAGCAGATGTAGGGTTTTTTTTTTTTTTTTTTTTTATAAATCGGGCAGAGGAAGGCTCAGGCAGAGTAAATATGCACATGTTAATCGACTACGTTCAATAGTAGATTAAGGTTTAATCGACTACGTTTCAATAGTCGATTAAGGTTTAATCGACTACTGAAACGTAGTCGAATAAGGTTAATCGACCACATTTTTTTTTTGGATTTTGTTTGTTGATTCCTTATTTTGCTCTTGTAGTTGGATTTGGGGGCATAGCGGATGTACGTTTTTGTTCTATCATTGTCGATCCGTCATCCGATTTGTATGGAATCAATTTCTATTTTTGTATATTTGTTGTTTTGTAAAAGTAGTTGATTTTCGTGTTTTTGCAATTGTTTTTTGTTATTTTTTTAATAGTATTGGGTTTCGCGGCATTACAATTGTTTTTATTACTTTTAGTAGTCAAATCAATTTCGTTATTCAACAACAATTTCAGTACTTAGTTCTTTTGATAATCGATTAATACACTCGACAACAAAAAAAAAAATTAAACAGATGGAAAAAAAACTAATAATAATAAATAAATAATTGAAAGCCAAAATTAATTTATATAATAAAAAGAAAGAAGAAATGGAATGGAAGTGGAAATAATATAGTGGAAGGGCAATTTTGTAAGAGAGAAGGTGAAATGAGTATGGATTTATCTCAGAGACTGAAATATGGATTGAACCTCTCTCTATTAATGAAAAGTTTGAGGAAATTTCTCAAAGAACCCCTTCAACGAATGACACTACCATATCAAGGTCTAAACGTTATAGATCCGGCACAAACCGATGGTCATATATCTACCTTAATATACATTTTGATACTACCATAGAACTTTATTTACATTGCGAAAGAAGGAAAATTGCATACACTGCATGTAAAGTGTAAATCTCATAAACATGTCGAAAAATTCCACAAGAGATCACTCATAGGTCGAAATAAAATTAGCTATGAATCGGAATTTAGCCATGCTATTATACCACGTCAGTGCACTATTAAACAATTGCATCACGAACGAATCCATAAAAAACCACGTAAACGTACGACAATAATTTGAATAAGTTGAAATTTTCAATAATCTAATGCCAATTGTTGGCTAAATGTGATGTTGAATAAGGTTTCTACTTTTTTCAAGAATCATTCTATCCTCAACATGAGAGATACTTTAGGATTGCAAAAAAAAAAAAAAAGAATAATTAAAAAAAAAAAAAAAAAAAAAATAAGCAAGGAATGAAGAAAACCGCGAAGCTTCCTTCAAGTTTTCAGACCCGTTGTTTTACAAATGGGGCAAATATTCTTTTGCATGAGCCATTGGCTAATACAGTCTTTGTGAAAATCATGCCCGCACTCGAGCGTTCCAAGATCTTCATCGTCTTTATATTCCTCCTGCAAAAATAAAAAAAATAAATAATAAATAAATACATAAACTATTTAAACGATGGTTTCTCGTTTTTTGGGTAGTGTTATAGGTAGTAGTCCTTACACGACAAATACTGCAAGGCTCCGTCTCCACTTGATCTTGTGTTTGTCTTTCTACATACTTGCGTTGCTTCAGACGATTTTTTATGGTTATTTCGTTCAATCCAGTGCACACATTTCCGATACGATCCTCTAGGGCTAATAATTCCTGGAAAATTCAAAATTTTAAAATAAAAAAAATGTCAAAATCGAACTGCATTTTTTTCAACACAAAAAAAAAGGCGTATAAAATAAAACCATTAAAAAATTATCACCTCATAAGACATGTTATCGACATCCAATCGCATATCCCTGTGTCGATCGTGAATATCAGCCATCCCGAACAGGACCGAATGATCGAGCATCATCATATCCTACACCACAATAAAAAAAATAAACCGTTTATTTTCAACGGAAAAAAAAAACAATGCCGTAAAATATAAAGCGAGAAACAAACCTCAAATCTTAAGCCTTCGCCTCTTCGCATGAGATCCAGCACATGGCGAATCTGCTGAAAATTGTAATATAATTAGTTTATGTTAATGTAAATGTACAGTCTCGATATAATGTAAAGAATACATATAAATACATACATACATATATATATATATATATATATATATATATACACACCTCGGACATTATGGTGGTTCTTCCTTCACCTGCAGCAGCTAAAGCCCTGAGGGAATAAGGTACACCAAAAGCAGCATCAATATTTCTCCCCAACAAACCCGACCTCAAATTCGATCCACGATTATCGGGTCCCACTGGAAGTGCCGTCTCTTGTGAGGTGGCAGCAGAATTTAATCGTACCGCCGATGATGTCAGCGATCTCCTAACAATTTCAGACAGTCTCCTAGGATACTGCGGACAACTCCTATTGTTCCAACTAGGACCCGCATTTGCCCCTCTACTACTGGGGCCCACCCGAGAACTAGACGCAACATTTCCATTAATGCCATTATTATTATTATTACTATTATTATTATTATTAATATTATTATTACCACCCAAACTCCAATTCATAGAAGACGAATTTCCTATCTCACCAGCTGGAACAAACATAGGATGCTCCGAAATACTCCTCAGAATATTCCCCGGAATATTCCGAGACGCGGGTTCTTCTTCATACGAACCGCCATTTCTTGAGCTGGATGCTCCGCTCCACCTAGACTGATGATTCCTTCGAGCAGAAGAAGAAGAAGAAGCTTGAAGAAGAACCGATTGCCCGCTAAGAAAGCTTCCGTTTTCCACCGCATGATGGGCTGGATTCGTTGGAGCTAATCTCGAAGAAGATGAAACTTGTGTTGTTAAAAACGGATTATCGAGTGTAGATTGATCTTGTTGTTGTTGTTGCATTTGGAATCCGTTGATCCTCAATCTGAAGTTTCTGCGGGCGGCAACAGCTCCACCACCACCACCACCACCAATCACGAGCCTCGGATTCGCCACCTCAGCTCCTCCGTTAGTGTTCTGATAATTAGAATTTGAATTCGAATTTTCGGCCTTTCTCTTGCAAGAAGTCATTCGTCGACTCTCGTCTATCGTATATTCATAATTGAAAGGATTGGTGGGGCCCACAGAAGTCCCTGTCTGCTCGTTGGACGATCCGATTATCCGACACTCGTTATCTTCTTGATTTTCAAAACCCGAACTCATATTAAGATCTTGTGGAAGCCCATTAGAGGCATTTAAATTGGCATTGTCCAATGGGTATGGAAGCTCTTGATGACGATGATGATGATGATGTGGCACAGCAGAGCTAGATTCGCCGAAGCTCCACTCAGAAAAAACACGGCCCTCGTTTCTGTTTCTTAGGTGTGGAAGATATTGAGTGTTGTTAATGGGCTCGTTTGATGGTGTTCGGTAATTTGGGAGCAGATTTTGAGGAGGGTTTTGCATGGTGGTGTTGTTCCAGGGTATATGGGAATCTATGACAGCATCGTTCGACGATGATGACGTGGAGCCATGATCGAAGCTTAGATTCATTTGCCCTTTCATTAGGGCGAATCTTGATTTTTTTACTCGAATATCTTGAAACGGAAACTTGTACATGAGAAACAGCATAGTATCAGCATTTTCTGTCTTTTGGTAATTTAGAAGCACACAACTATCGAAGTTTACGAATGTACATTGATCAAAGTACGTAAAGCAAAGAAACTAGGACGCGCGTTTTATCCAACATTCGCAAAGTTACGATTAAGAGTAAAAGGAACAAACACGAAAATCATTCTTGATAAAAAAAAAAAAGCTAATCTTGAAATATATGTTCAACATTTTTACAGGCGAAACCCCAATTAAATTCAAGACTAAGGATTGACAAGAACCGGCTTTTACGATTGAATCGATCAAAGCTAGGAACTTTTGTTTAAATCTATTAAAACCCATTTTTTCAGAATAAATATTGAGCATAATAAAGATCCAAAAATGTTTGAATTGGATAAAGATTGCATTTTTTTTTACTAGAAAATATAACAGAGATAGAAATTTCTGAAACAAATTCAATCAAGAATCACCTACAAAACCCACCCAAAAATCCATATATATACATATATATTATATATATATATATACACAATCAAGAAAATATTTGATTTTGAAACAGAACCCAGAAGAATAGCTAGCATAAATGGTTCAATCAACATAAACAAAAACAATTATTTATATATATATTTATATATGAAATAAAACAAAAGTGAGAGTTATTACCAGACAACGAGCGGAGCGATAGATTTAATGTTCAAAACCTGCAAATAGCAAAAAACAAAAAAAAAAAGCAAATAAACTTTCTTCGCTGCAGGCAAATATAATTTCATTACAAAAAAAAAAAAAAAAAAAAAGAAGACGAAGAAAAGAGGAACAAATGTGAACACAAACAAACCTCTTCAGACAGAATGTTAGAGAGAGAAAGGTTTAAAAAATGAGATGTAGAGAGAGAGAGAGAGAGAGAGAGAGAGAAATGAAAATTGGTGGGTTATGAAAATGAAACCGAGAGATGGGTGGAGGGATTAATGAGGGCAGTAATCTTTAATTTACTCCCAAAAAAATAATAAATCAAAATATTAAATAAAACACACACACACACACACACACCACCTAAGACCAAAAGGGCCACATTCACACCTCTGCGCACAGACAGGCAAGAAAATTTCAAAGAAAACAAAGAAACTTTCCTGATTTTCATTAATGCCCATAAATAAATATTAAACCAATGCTAAATTAAAGTTTAAAAAAAATAAAGGTGGGGGGGTAGGGGGGGGTGGGTTCATGTTTAGGGGGTGGCTCACCAAAATGTCTTCATTTTCCTTGTCAGATGGTGCCCCTGTATTTCTTCTCTCTTTTCAACACAGCAAAATGTTTAATATAAAATATTATTTTCATTTATTTATTTAATTTAATAAATTAATTTGGTGTCTGGGTTTGGAAAAGCTTCACGCCAACCACCTGTCCCATTGTTTATGCATCAATCACATGGATTTTTTTATTTATTTATTTTTATTTGGATTTAAGTAAAAACTTTTTATGAGATGTTTTGGGTCAATTTTTTTACCTCTCTTGAATTGGTTTTCAAGATTATTTTTGATTATTCGTCTTGTTCTTCGCCTTAAATGGATTTGTTGTTACTTTCACCTTCTTCTTCTTGCTATTTGTGTAATTTGACAAATGTCACTATAAAAGATTTAAACCAATTTTGTTGACTATATATATATATAGGATCATAATAATTTATGGGATGGTTTTGATTTTTTGAATTTTTGGAGATGGATGAATTTTTAATAGGGGTGGGATTTTTTTTATTTTTATATAAAAAAATTAATTCATTTTACTCCCAAAATAAGTAATAAAATCATGCGAGTAAATAAATATGCTCGAAAAATAAAATAAGGAAACGCGGAAAATTAATTAAAGTTGACTTGAATTCGGAAATTCGGAAAATTTTATTGAGTGCAGTTTGCGATTGAGCGGTGTAGTCAATATTGACTCACCGCGACGGAACTCGATCTCGGATGTACGAAATCATCGAGTCAAACTCACGTGTTGCGTCCGCAATGACCATTGTTGCCCGAAAACCTATAGAAGTTTGGAAAATTTATCGACATTGGATTCGAGCGATTGTGTGAGTAAACACTCGAAGTCAACAAAGATAAATAATCATCCAAAATATCACGTAAGATTGATACGAATTTTACCCTAAATTGTATTTCTTATCATTCCGATCTAATTACTTCCATTTCGAATAATATTCGCTTCTTTCATGATTTATTGAAATTCATTTTCCTTGCTAGTGTCCCTTTCCGTTTAAGGATGGAACACACTAGGGTTGGACATATATGGGTTGGGTCGGGTATTTATTGGCAAATTACCTACCCGACCCAATCAACCGACTTTGATGAATATTGAAAATTATTACCGGTCCGATATTATGGTTCGGATAATAGTTGACAACCGATTTTATCAAGTAAAAAGTAGGCCGGTTGATTGGTATTATCGGTCTACTAATTATTGATTTTTTTTTTTTACAATAATAAAATGTTATTATCGGTCAACTAATTATTGATTTTTGTTTTTACAATAATAAGATGTTATTCTATCAATATTTTGAAACGATATTCAAAATTATGGGAAAACTTGTGTTACAAATTCCTAAGCTTAAAACTTATGGAACACACTAGGGTTGTGTATGGGTTGGGTCGGATAATTATCGGCCAATTATCTACCCAACTCAATCAGCCGATTTACTGAATGTTGAAAAACCATTACCTCCCCGACCATTGTGTGTCGGATAATAGTTGCAACTGACACGGTCAAGTAAAAAATAGGTCAGTTGATTGGTACTGCCCGCCAACTAATTTGTTTTTTTTTATTTTTGTTGTTTTTACAATATAAGATGATATTCTATCAATCTTTTAAATGTTTTTCATAAGAACTCAAAATTTGGAACAACTTATTTTGCAAAAACCGTAACCTTAAAATTAAGAGCTTTTTATTTTTTTGAACTAAATTTCTATAATCAGTGAATATATAAAGAAGAATATGAAATAAGAATTATAAAATAATAATTGTGCAAAGAAATGTATAAATTTGTTTTTCCTTTCTTGTTTTGACTTCTTTTATATACTAGTAATTGTACCCGTGCGATGCACGGGACAACAAATTGCATTCTTTTGATGTTGTAAGAATATAAACAAACGTTTGATGTATCGTATGATCAAAATTCTATTATACTGGAACATTATTAAGTATACTACACACAAAAAAAAAAGGACATAACTTTACTGTTTAATAATTTTCCAAATGAATTGAATCAGCTAATACCAGTAGATTGAAAATTTGAACCAGGAAAAAAATCATCAATTATGTCTTCCATGTTGAGCTTAAAAGTAATTAGATTTAATAACTAAGTTAACATAATCAAAACTAAACTATCGACAACATACCATCGTAAAAGGCCATCTATACATCTTGCATCGGAACTAAGCCCTTCTCCACTGCTTCATTTTAAGGTTGTTTTGCCACTGGAATTAACAATTGGAAAATTAAGAAACAAAAATAAATATAAACAATAAATTAAATATCGCATACAAACAATAAGTCTTGAAGGTCGACTTCCAATAGCTTGTGGCTCCGCCCATTTTTTGTTAATTTTCTCAAATCATCCCTTTCAATAACATGTCCAATAACATATAAAATGAAATAATTGTTATACATAAAATTTGAAAACTTTGGTATAAATTAATGAAACACATAATTTAACAAAATGAAATTACCTATAAGCCATGATGGAAAAAGATGTAAACTAATTGCCACACATGCAATAGGATGAAGAAGAAGATAAGAAACAAAATCTAAAGTCGGGTTACCAAAAGAAGAAGCCTTAGGTAGGGAAGAAATAAAATTCAAATGTTGCAGACATTCTGTAAAACGATGTCACAAAATCCGCTAGGGATGAAAATCAGATTTATTTACCCTTTTCTGTAAAAATCGAAAATCAGATTATTAGAAATAATATCTAGGAGAATTTGATGAAAATCGATAATAATATTTAAAATAATATTTCGGAGATAAAAATTTGATAAAAAAATCAAAAATAATATTTAGGAGACAATAATCTGATAAAAAACGAAAATAATATTTAGGAGATAAAAAACTAATAAAAACATGATAAAACTCGAAAAAAATATTTAAAATATTATTTAGGAGATATAAATTTGTTAAAATTCGAAAATAATATTTAGGAGATAAAAATCTGCTAAAAGTTGAAAATTATATTTAAAATTATAGTTAGGACTTAGGAGATATAAATTTGATAAAATTAAAAAAATATTATTTATAATAATATTTAGGAGATAAAAATTTGATAAGAATAAAAAATAATATTTAAGAGACAAAAATCTGATAAAAATAAAAAATAATATTTAAAATAATATTTAGGGGATACAAATATGATAAAATTCAAAAATAATATTTAAAATAATATTAAGGAGATAAAAATTTGATAAAAATTGAAAAAAAATTACAAATATGACATTAGGGTTTCTTAGGGTTGCCCTAGCGTTTCTTTCTTTTATATATAAGATTATTTCAACTTTAAAAAATAAGAATTTCAATTAAATATTATTAATAAATTTTTATAATTATAAAAAGTCGGTGGGCCGGTAACTATCGGCCAACTTTTTGAGTAAACTAAAAACCACTGATCGACCGATGTATGCATGGATCGGTTAAAATTATCGGCTGGACTCTCTTTGGACCACCTCAATGATTTCTTTCTGGCTTAATCGTATTTGAATTTTCAAAATATAATATTATGGGACTTTGCACCTCTAAAATAAATTAACAACACTTTATACCCTCAAAAGGTAATAAAATATTCACATTGCACCCCCAATTCATATTTTAATAAAATTGTCAGTAAATTATTTGTTTAGTAAGTCTTTGATAAAAAAAAAAATTGTGGATATTTTCTATATAATAAAATATAATTGTCAAGTAATTTAGTAAGAAAATAATTGATTGGTGGAGAAAAATAAACAATTTAACTTAATAATTTCGACGAGGAAAATATATTATTATAAAGAAAAAAATACCCTCAATCAATATACCCATACAAAAATATTTCTCTCTATGGTGGAAAGTATTAAAAATTTAATTTTTCAACATTTCCACGATTTCTTTACCCAATTACAGAACATTTTTTTTCTTTTTTCATACAAAAACAAATCATCAAATTTTTTTGCCAATTCCAATTAAAGACATACCTATTCAATAATTTCGAATTTTTTTTTCAGTATTCCATTATTGGAAATTCCATTTGGAAATACTCCTAAAAGATGAAATTATCCTTATTAGCCTTAAAATTTCAACTCGTGGTGCAATATGAATGATTTACTACCTTTAATTAGAGGATGCAAAGTGCTATTAAATGGTTCAAAGTGTTAAAATGTTACATTTCAAGGGTCCAAAATAAAATTAAGCCTTTATATCTTGTATTTTCCTATTTAATCAACAAAATGCAGCATTTTCCCAAAATGTAAAAAAAAAAATATATGTATATAATATTTTTAAAGTCAATTGAACATTAAACTTTTGATTAGACATTGACCTAATAGATCATAAAAATAATAATAAAAACTCAGTCTTTATATTATTTGGAGTACGAAAACGATTTATTATTATAACAAGCAATCCATGCACGTGAGTCATTATATTAGACCCACAACCTACAAATCCACAACCGTTAGTAATTTAAATTTGTTGATTAAACAAAAATATATCTCATGGGTAGCGGTGGAAATTGAAATGAAATTTTCGAATTCTTTTAATTTTAATTATAAAAAAAAAACTGAATTTGGAGTATTTTTCATTTTGATTTTTGAAGTTCTAATTTCTGATTTTATCGAATTTATTTGAAAGGAAATCGGAATAGTATATAAAATTAACGGA